ACATAAAGTTCAATCGAATCTCTTTTATGATCTTGCTTGCATCGACAACATACATGGAAACATTTTCACCAGGGAACTTGGTGATGTCAAGTGAAGAAGCTTGGCTTTGAGGGTCTCAATCTTGCTGAGAGAAGGTCTGTATATTTCTGCAGAAGAGCAAGAGAAGCTGGGGCCCATTGTGCTTGGCTCGAAGGACATATGATTTCAATTCCTCCTAGAGGGCATCAGTTCAAGAGTTCAAGACAGCCTTTCCCGACCAGGCAAGGTTGGTCAGATCAGACTGGCAAACAGAGTGTTGCTTCAGAGTTCCAGCATCGATGAATCCAACCCCATTTACTGTGAGATCCTGATGCCATTTGTCCATCATAGATTCTGAGACCTTCCCAGGAGCAGTGAACATATTAATTTTGATAATGGTGTTAGTATTAAGATCACCAACAAAAAGCTCAAAGATCCCTTCCATTCCATGCTCAGTCATCATACTTTCAAAGGGGATAAGACGAGGCTAAAACATGGGATCCAGAAGCATTGGACTCAGTCAAAGTGGAGAAGAGGAGACTGGTGGAATCCTCCAGTCCTTTCTTGCATGCCAATTCGATATTCTGGAGTGTGGTGTGATGCTTTAGATGGTCGTCTCCAAGAAAACCCCTGAGCCATAGGGTGATTTGAGGTTCTTTTCCCAGTCCATCTGAGCCAGATCCAGTCCAGGCTCCAGTGTGGTTGATACCTCCAAGCCAAGGGGCTTCTGTAAGCTTGGGTTTTTCCTGGTTTCCCCAATGTGCTGGAGGAGATCCTGGAATTGAACTGCGGTCAAGGGTGCTGTAGTCATGGTTGGAGGATCAGATGGCGGGATGATTGGATCAGATCAAAAGAAAGCTTTGTCTGAAGCCTTGTGGGATGAACAAGGGTGCTGTGCTGGGCTTTTGAAGGAGTTGAAGATGAAGATGCTGAAGCAGAGTAAGCGTCGTCAAGATCCATCAATAATAGATGATGGGAATAGGATGCAGTGCAAATCAACAGGGTAAACAGAGGAACAGCAGTGGCAATGGCAATGATATTAACAGGAAGCGGCAACAAGAGCGGCAACAAGAGGAGGAGCGCGTTGGATATCCAGCAGTAAATCGAGTCAATCGAGGGCTGGAATTTATGAGCTTTCCAAAACTTCGAGTTGCTTGAGTTGTTTGTTTGATGACAAGAGCTTTATTCGAATTGCTCGTTTGAATGACACGTGAGATCGATCGCGATCTCGACCTTTCGTACGGAGCGATTGATTGCTCCGTACAATCCGTACCGTGGTCGTTAAAACGACAAACTGAAAGCCAGTTTGCTGCAGGCCACACCAAACGACCAATGCAGGTCCTAGGTAAGAAGAGTCGGATTGGCCGAGTAACAGCCCCAACACCAACAACACGGAGCGGTCGCGATGGATCTTCGTTCCGGGTTGTTGTTCGAAACAACATCAATGTACTACGTCGAGTTAATGAAAAAGTGAGGAGTTTTTTTCGAAGATATAAGGCAAGGATGACTCAGGCGATTCGAAATAAATAAAGAATGGCTCAATGCATGACAAACAAGCCGAGCCTTATATATGCAGTCAAGCCTCTTTTTTCGATGAATTCTGTTAACTCTGTTGACTCGCGATCGTCCGATGCTCAAGCTGAGCATGGAATGGACTCGATCTCGATCGATGAGATGATGAGGCAAGACTTTATCGGGGATAGAAATTACAGTAGTAGTAGCAATACCAGTAGCGGTCGAACGTGCAGTACCAGTAGTGGCTCCTGTAGCGATCGAGATGGGATCCTCATCGCGATTTCGATCGACGACAGGATGGTCCTCGAAGACAGGATGGTCCTCATTGAGATTGCGATCGTCAATAGGATTAACAAGGGGATTGCTTACGAGCGAATCAACAACAAGGGGATTGCTTTCGAGCGAATCCAAGGGGAGCAAGTTGCAACAAAGGGAAGGACTACCGATGGAGATTGGGCTCTGCACCAGGGGATAGACCATTCCATTGTCAACCATAAGAGATAGACATATCAGAAATAGAATGAGTAACATCTCAGTACCTCGAATGCTACCATGCGACAATACCATTGTGCATTGATTAATCTAAGGATCTAAGAGATGTAAAGTTTGTATTTCCAAATAAGTGAGCAGTTATTGATTATTTTCTAGAATAAGCCTGCAAATAGTAAAGCTGTAAAGCTGAATTGTAAGCTGTATCCCGTCGCAACGGAACCCAATATTGGCAGGCTGCTCCCCAAACTCCACCGGCTTCCCGCCGACGTGCACGCCAATGGCCTTTCCTTGAAGGAGTGCAATTTGGGGTGTTGGTTGATTCTTGTCCAGCAAGAAGATGATCGCACCCGAACATCCTCGAAAGGTGTTGATGGAATGCTCAGAGGAATTGTACCGGTTTTGGTGCACAACAGTCACTTCGCCAGTGAAAACACAAACGCTGTTTTTGGGTCCATAGACCTTCAGTAGTTCATCAGGCTCCATGGGACTTCCAGTGTCGGCTGCCTCAATGTCGAAGGTTCGATACACCACCAATCCAATCTTCATACCCGCCGTAATGGGTCGCTCTTGGGGGACTTTCTCGAATGTCAATCTCTTTTGCGTGAGAATCTTGAAGGCGTCGGTAATGGTATTTCCACTGCGACGTCGTGAGATTTCCATTTGAAAGCGTCCGTGCCGTTCTCAGCATCGGCTGGCACAAGCTCGATTGTCTCAGTGGGAGTGATGGATTGCCCAAACTGAGGAAACACCAAATTCTGAAAGGAACCAGGGGGATCAGAATAAACTACCTTGCAAGAAAAGTACTCATTCTTTCTCACTGTATAACATCTCTCTCATGCGCGCACCTGCACACCCTACTGGATCCCTGTAGAAATCTCCCTGTACCTCTGCGGATTACTTTTGGGAAACTTTGCCTCCACCCTGCCTGCTCCCCCCACCACAGGGGACTCAGCTGACACCAGTCCCTAGTGGCGGGTGGGCTCCTTTGCCAGACTGCCTGGCTCTGAGAGTATGGTGGGCCAAACTAGCATTAACACTTAGGAATTCGCAGCATTCAAATGGGAGAGTACCATCCATACTGCTGCTACTGGTGGCGGTGCAGGTTGTGTTGGTGGCACCTGCACCAGGAGTAGCACCAGGAACAGCACCAATGAACTGGGTTGCCACCCATCTCATAGTTTCCATCTGCTATTTGGAAAGATGAGTAGCTCCCCTGACACAGCTGTTGCCGCCAGAGACAGCCATGACGGCAGTGGCTTTGCCGGTACCTCGACCAACGACATTTCAATTGCCGGTGAAGCCGCCACAAGGGCCGAATTTGATACTTTTGCTGCTGCCGAGTATGAACAAGATCTCCCAGCCACAGCAAGCACCGGATCTGGACGATGAGTTGGAGCTCTCAACCGAGGAGTCGGTACCTCCGCCCGATTGTAAAATTCTGCCATTACTGGAGCTTTATCCCAATATGGAACAAGATCACATTTGCAAGCCATTAGTAGAGAGGGCGATTCGATGCATCGCTCCTCGTTGGGCCAAGTATTGTGGAACGATTAACCAACAGGAGCCATGGGTTCGAAACCATGGTCTACAGTTGTACAGCAAGCGAGAAGACATCAAAAACCACCAGCAATACGATAGGGAGAGAACCGATGGATTCTTTCGGTTTCTTTCGGCTGATCTTCATGTTGGCAAATCGGTTCTTATCAAAGCTAAGACCTTTGTGAATACGCATCTTAAGTGTGAACATTACTCCCGCCAAAAGGAAGTCAATCAATATGCCGAGTTGGTCCAAATCAAGGTTGGAGACGAGCGCAGACAAGCTGCGCTCGCCCAGAGCAGCTAGACACGACTAGTAGAGGATTAGGTGAGTGGAGAGACTCGGCCATTTACTGAGCCGACCGTCTCCAGTCCCTGGGGTACCATTCGGGACTGGGGAGTCCCAGATGGATCCCACACGGCAAAAGGGAGTCCCGGGAATGTGATGTTCCACGGGACAGCCTTGAGTCGTGCAACCAGGGAGGGAGAGGTGGGTTAATCTAATCTAGGTTCTTGCCTTCAGCGTCGGCTGAATGAAGAATAGTGAGCTGAGAGAGAGACAACCTTCTTGCGATCGGCAGTTCAATGGCTGGTCTTGGCTAGGTCGCTGGCTTTAGTGATTCATGGTTGCCGTTGTTGATCTTGCCAAATGTGGTCTTGGACGGGCGTCGTTGCCTTAAGGGCAATCTTGTTCGGGAGGCATTGAGGAGCTGATGCGATGCATCATCATGTGGGGTATCCATTTCCGGAACGCAGGTGATGACCTGCGAGATGTAGAGATGTACTTGAGTTGTAGGTGAGGAGCGCGGGAATTAATTTTGCAAATTGTGAGATGGTCATCTCGGCAACCATGATTAGGGTGGTTGCGAGAACCCATCAGGGTTCAAGTTTCCACGCTGCGGGGCGTGGAAACTCGGACGGGGGGTTCCCCAGGCGTGCTGCTGCTCAACACGTCGCTGCCTGTACAGAAAAGTGTGTCTACGGTCACATCCCGTGCAGCAGCCAGCTCAATCAATTGACGCATGTGAAGATATCCAAGCCGGGCTTCAGCAGCTCCTAACTCCGGAACAAACTAGAGAGATGGCATTATCTGTATTTTGCGCCCAGCCCAATGGAGCAGTGGCTAAGCTACATCCATTCTTTTGGGGATAATCGACCACATTGTGCAAGGAGTGACTGCAAAGCGTGACGACGGTGTCAAGACAGCTTCAGTAATATCGTTGGTGTTACCACCATCCGTATGCATACTTGTAGTCTTCTGCCGTTGTGGGGTGCGATCATTTTGCTGAGGTGATGGAGTGATTCGCTGTCCACGGATGAGCCCCAACTGTCCGGCCCACCCCCCCCCCTCATAGCTGATTTCCCAACAAAAGGCCTTGCATCGCACATCGTTTACCAGCTCTGGCGAGATAGCGTTTTTATTGCCAACAAGGGCAAGTCCAACAGCCTCAAGCACAATACCGATGTTGACGAGACGCTCCTCTACATTGCGGCCGCCTTTTGTTGGGCTTGGCTTCTTGGCTCCGTCTCGTAGCTTCTTTCGTCCCGACATGTTTGTGCTGTTGTACAAATATACGATGCTTGTTTGTGAGGGACTATTATTTTTAATAATGTGTGCTTGCTTGACCCTTTGTGTTTGGTGTGCTTGAAGCTTGAAGGCTTAGTGGGTTGTGTTGCTGTTGCTTCCTTGCGATCGCCAAACACTCTCCACGCTCAGCCGCGGAAAAACCGACCCTGTCGAGAATGGCATGGTTGCCCAAATAGAGTCGGCACGTTGTTTTCAGCCTGATTCGATTCAGTTCCCTGTAATATCGTAACGCAGTACATACTGTATTTTGGTGCTCATTATTCCAATGCAGCAATTGGATGTCATACCATAGTTGTTTGCCTACCGGTATCGTACTACTTGTAACTCAGTCATTGATAGCTAGCTAGCTAGTAGCTATAGATCAGCAGCAGCAGCAGCAGCAGCAGCACCAGCAGCAGCACCAGCAGCAGCACTAGCATGTAGTATTGGTACATGAGTCCTCAGTCAACATGCCATGGAGATGCTTAATAACAAGGCTTTTAAATTTTTAATTTTATTATTTTTACCTAAAAGTAAAATTTCATTTTTGTACAGGCTGGTTTCTCTGGTCCTCGCACAAAAGACACACTTGGTACATTTGCATTGAGTCTCTCACTGGTTAAATTTTGGCTACTCGTTAAATACTTAAGAACACTAGGTTCTTCTAAGGACTTAACAACTTCAACTGATGTGGAAGGTGCCATTCTCCTTTAGGAGCACTGCACCAGGGAAATGACAGGGGGTCAACAGCACCACAATGTAGCTAGCCAGTTTAGTCTTGGTTTGCTAGTGACTCAATCAAGGAAGAAGAAGAAAAAAACACAAGTCCTCTGCATCAAGTGTTGTTGTTGTTGCCATCTCCTTGTGATTACTACTAGCTAGCTAGTAGTGGTCATACCATCTACCACTACTCCACAAGAAGAAGCTGCTTGATTCAAAGTGCTTCCACTGTAAAAGTCAAATTCTGATCTGTACTGTATTGCATACTGTTTGATCAATGTAGTTTCCTGCTGCCCATACCGTTTACGGTTCATTGTGGCAACAATTTACTGTTTACCGTTTACCGTTCATACATTGACTTGTTCAAAAGAGGACAATATCTGTGTACGATATACGGTTTACGGTTTTACAAATTAAAGTTGATTTACGATATACGATAAACGGTATCCTCCCTCCTGCAATGTCTCCAAAGAAGCAAGGCACAACACAAAGCCACAGCAGATAAACGGTAAACGGTAAACAGTACACAAAATAATTGAAACGGTACGCGGTAAACCATGTTGAATTCTCTTTACAAAAATATCAAAGAAAAACTGCGGTAAACGGTATACCGTTTGGGCTGGCCACATGTGCACATTGTATACCGTATCCGCCACCTCATTGGTGATGACTAAATTTTTAGGCAGAAGTGGGTGGGCCTGCTACATTGTGGTGCTGTTGACCCGCTGTCAAATTCACCCCACTCCGTACTATGCCTGCAGGGTTTCGAATGCATTATTGACTGCGCCAATTACCTCAGAAAGCGCATCAAGCTCTTGGTCTCGCTTTGCACTGACCTGCCAAAGCTGCTTGTTCTCCTCTGAAAGCTTGGCAAGCTGTTGGTCGCGTTCATCTGACGCTTGCTGCAGTGTGTTTGGTGCTTTGCTTCAGATCTTTCATCTCCTCTGAAAGCTCTTTGATGCGCTGCCAATTCTGCTGAACCTGATGCTGCAGTTGCTGCCCAATCTGATGGGTCTCCTCTGAACGTTGGCCAAGCTGGCGAAGCTCTCGACGACGTTCCTTGAACTCTTGACGACGTTCCTTGAACTCTTGCTTCAGTGTTTTGTTGGTTTGCTGCAGATTTTTGTTGGTTTGCTGCAGATTTTCTATTGCCTTCCCATTTTCTTCTTGTTGTTTTGCAATCGCCTTACACAAGGCGATCGCCTCAAGCAGCATTGCCGAATCATCTAAATGTACCGGCAGCTCTTTGTCTTCGCTCGATCCAATTCCTCCTTTCTTTTCATCAGATACCATCTTGTGCGTATACGTAAACCAGTTGAGTATCTCTTTCGAAAGACGAATGTGAAAAATTATGAGTGAGCTGGAACACGAGGAAGACACTGATGATGGACTCGGAGGGATGATGTATACCGAAAGATACCAGTACTCCCTCAGTGGAAGTGGACAGGGTCCGTTTTTCTCATTGGTACTTTGCGCACGCGATGAGCATGGATTGATTGATCTGACGAAACGTGTCCGGGCCCATGTCGACCTGAATCGAATTAGGCTGCTCTGTCGCCTTGGACTCTCGCGACCATTTTGCCGCTGATCTTTCCCAAGCACGGATACAGCTGAAACCATTCGTGCGTCTTGAACCAAGGCGAGAGTCGAGATCCATCATCGATCGCCTTGGTCTCTTCTGACTGAAAATTGCGCATTGCCGCAAATGTCCGATCTCTTTTGAGTTCTTGCTTTGTTGGTTGTCATTCGCTTTGACAGCTTGTGTCAGAGTCTCTGCCTGCAACAGTTCCGCATCTCAAGCAGCATTGTCGAATCAATCCTCCTTTGCGGAAGTGCTATCGTGATGGTGCGCAGAAAGGGTGCTATGAATTCCAGGTAGGAACTCAGTGGTAGGTGCACAAGAGCTGGGATGGAGAGCCCTGTTTGGTGGAGATCTCCTTCCACTGGCGCTGGAAAGGCCAGCCCAAGGCTGGCAGCCAATGCTATTCTTACTTGTGGGCATGTTGACCGTTCTATTGCTTCATACTGGCACTGGCATTATAGGATCTGTTATGCACGGTCTTACTTGTGCTGTTGGGTCTGTCTTTCAGGTCAACTACTTCTTCATTAATTCTTAACTATAATATGAACACAAACTCTGTTTTTGCGTGAAACTCCATTATCCAGCCATGCAGGATAAAGATCCATGCATCTCTTTTTGGCTGGTATAGACCAAGCTATCTTTCTAGATAGGTCATGGTTGAGGAACTGCATCATCCATCCTTACAGAGGAACTCTAAGTCCTCTACAGCTGTTCCTTTCTTTTCTGATGGTGACACAGCTCATTTTGTACTGAAAGGGGCTGTACAGCTCCAGCAGCGATCTTTCCACAAGACTGAGCCAGCACAGCTGCTCCGCACCCATATGGCTCCTATGTCATAATCTCATCGCTCCCACCATTGGAGTCATGTATGGGGTGCCAACAAGCTAGCACATCATGGGGCTTCCATCGATACTTCCATGAACTAGGAGCATCTGACTGCTCAGTGCGGACCTTTGGTCGCTACTTCCGTTGGTTTTACCAACCCTTTTGATAATTCCAGGTCATTGGTTCTGGTTGGGGGGCTAATGGGTTTTTTT